GACAGTGAGCACAGCAGCACTGCGGGGACCCTCAAGGACACACGGGCACAGGGCATCAGAGAAGAGTGAGGGGCTGCCCTCCCTGGCAGGCAGGGCTCAGAGGGAGCAAAATGCCCCAAACTGACTTCCTCCCCTCACTCCATTTTATAAGCGGGCACTACTGCACTCAGTGGCACAGGGAGCACCCAGGTCTCGGCCACTCAAAGCTTTCTCCCCACCCCCTGCCCCCACCTGCCCCTGGATGAACTTTCTCTCATCTTGGGGGTGGGGAAGGGCTGCTCTCTACCTCTGGGGAGAAAGCTCACCTCAGTGCCCACTCAGCAGAGCCACTCCGGTCCTGGGAGCATCAGGCACATTCCCAACTGCCTCAGGCCCTCGATTTATAACAAATATCAAGCTCTTACCTGCGTACCAAGAAACAAAATAAGTCATGGGCATGGCCCTCAAGATGTTTTCTGGCTGGTGGAAGGGTGTGAGAGTTCGGTACAATAAGGGCATGACCATGGGATGCACAGTCAGACAGACAGGGGCTCTGCCAGGCATCTTGGTGGGAGTGAAGGTGTCTGACAGAGTGCAGGCACTCAGAGTGGCAGCTCTCACTACCATCATCACCATCACCATCACCATCGTTAGCATCACCAGCATCACTACGACCACCACCATCTCCATCACCACCACCATCACCACCATCATTGTCTCCATCATCATCATCATCATCATCATCATCATCATCATCATCACCATCACCACCATCATCTCCATCATCTCATCATCATCATCACCACCACCGCGATCTCTATCACCACCACCATCACCACCACCATTGTCTCCATCACCACCATCATCACCACCACCATCATCACTATTACCACCACCATCATCTCCATCATCATCATCATCACCACTATCACCTTTATCACTATTAGCATCTCCATCATCATCACCACCACCACCTCCATCACCACCATCATCTCCATCATCATCATCATCATCATCATCACCATCACCACTATCACCTTTATCACTATGAGCATCACCAGCATCATCATCACCACCACCACTTCCATCACCATCACCACCATCATCTCCATCATCATCATCATCATCACCACCACCACTATCACCTTTATCACTATTAGCATCACCAGCATCATCATCACCACCACCACCTCCATCACCATCATCTCCATCATCATCATCATCATCATCATCATTATCATCATCACCACTATCACCTTTATCACTATTAGCATCACCAGCATCATCATCACCACCACCATCTCCATCACCATCATCACCATCACAACCACTGCCACCACCATTACCACTGTCACTACCATCAGCATCACCATCACCATCACCACCACTGTTTCTATTATTCTGCTATTATGAAAAAGACTTTCTCAGGACACGCTCAGCCTTCACATGCAATTTTCATGTCAGAAATAACTAGGCCACGGAAGGCGTCCTGCTGCCTGCAGAGCTGGTAGTGGTGAGCTGCAGAGCTCTGCAGGACCCGTGTCAAGACCCAGGAGGAGCACTGGGCAATGACACTCCCAACTCCCTACCACAACTGGTGGTTTTTCTCACTTTATGGACATGATCTGCAAAAACTGAAGGATTTTAACAACTTCAGGATGCAGAGGTCTCTATGACAAGTCTTCATCTATGGCAGAATTAACTCTGAGATGAGATGGAAAGCAGGCCAGGGAAGAGGGGCTCCGGTAGATGACATGATGCGCTCAGAACTTCCAGTCCACACTTTCCCCTCGTGAGCAGGACTTGAGGTGGGCTCTGGTGGGTCAGGCACTGTCATGCCATCCATGGGCCTGAGCCTCATGCTCCAGATGTGGGAATGAAGCAACTGGGGGGTGGGGTGACAGCACGGTCATGGGAATGTCATGAGCCTTTCAGACCCACTGCGCCCCTTCCTGTTTGGCACATGGCATTGAGAGTTGCAGTTGGGGGTCCCTAGCCTGGCAGCGCTCATCTCCCCTGGCCAGCAGAGGGGTTGGATATGGGCTGGGGGACCTGGAACACTTCCAGCATCCCCAGACCTTCTGAAGACGGTGCAGGACTCAGAACCTGCTGGTTCCCTACCACGCTTTCGTGCATTTCCCTGCTCATATCTAGTGATTTTTGTTTTCTGCTGCTTGCCAATCTAGCTTCCTCCAAGTGAGGATGCAAATACTGAAATTTAAATGTTACTCAGAAGGGTTCCAGTGTTCTCTATACCTGCCAGGGAAAAGAGATACATTCCCTTCCCTGCTCACCTGGAACAGGACACTCATCCTGGAAGAGCCATGCTCCCAGGCAGGGCACAGCTTCCTCTGCCCTGTCCCCAGTGCTGGGACTAAACCTTCAATGTCCATTAATCGATGCTTACAGACAGCTGCCCCTTTGTAACAGAATTCTTACTAGAAGCGTATTTCCAAATTTTAGAAAGGTCTCGGAAGACTAGTATCCAGTTTGCTTATATCTAATCTTCTGACATCTCTACAGTTCTAAAGGTATAAAAGAAATTGACAAGTGGCCCAAGACATCTGTCAAACATGAATGGATTAATAACTACTTTAAATCTGTGTGATCAATAGCCAAATAGGCACACTGAATGTTACTGATCTATTGCCGAAGTATAAAAGTCCTTTAATTTCAAAATTGCAATTAAATTATTTTTATAACAAAAGAAATTAATTAAAAGGATCTAAAATCAAAATCCTAGTTATTAAAGTGATGAGTTAATCAAGTAATTTAAAAATGGTCAACATGAGGGCGGGAGCTATGAAGTGACTCTCTAAAATCCCCTGCTTCACAACTGTTTTGTGGCAGCAAACACCAAGGAGTGAATTCAGCCAACGACACATTAACCTAAGGAAGCCACTCACTGTGCGTCAACCTGAGGCTTGGAGTCCTTTTCTCTATATGCGCTCACACGCCTCCAACCTCTTCCAAATCTCAAAAGAGATATTTTAATTCAGGAGAAAAGACTTCTGATTTCAATTTTTCCAAGTAATTTCTTTTAAGGAGGTTTGGTGAGGTTAAGTCAGGGATGATAATGCTAATGCAGATAGTTTTGTTCCCCTGAAACCTTTTTGATAAAGTCAGAATTTCCTGGAAGTATTTGTTTGATGAGTTAATATACGTAAAGTTTTCAACCTGGACCTAGTACTCGGCCATTGCTACCATCACTGTTGTGGTGGCTGTACGGCTGGATGGTGGAGTCGGATAATCTAAGCACGGGAGACTCCTGGAGCTCCTTCCAACTCCCAGTTAGTGACACATGAAGTCCGAGCCACTCGGGCATGCTAGATGCCACCTGCTGCTCATTCCCAATCCCAGGACCAAAGACGTGAATGTGGACAAGCGCTCCCTCAGCCAGGCACGGGGATCTGGTCTCCTTTTCACAGATGGAGCCAATAGAAATTCGCAGGAACTCTGCCTTTACTGGCCAAGGTCACTCAGGCGGCCAGCAGCACCTGCAGCCCTGAAGCCAAGACCAGTATCTGCAAAGCATGTTCCTTCTGCATCCCAGACCTGAGGGGGCACCTCAATCCTCACCTGACTCAAAAGAGGGCAGGGACCCCGGCTCCATGCTGCAGGGCACTGATTCCTGCTCTGATCTTCAAGGGCCCGTGCAATCCCACGGAACCTCTGTAAATGCCACCGTAAGATGGGGATCAGTCCCTGCAGCAAGTGTCCTTAGAAAGTGAAATGGGCTACCACACCTAAACCCCCAGAGCAACGCCGCCGGGCATGAATGGCAGCTTCTCTGGTCAGTATCACTAGCACACAGCAGTAATCTGACACCCTCGGTGTCATCCAGGTGTGTCCTCTCCCATCTGTAACCTCTCTGGCCTTTGCTTTTAGAGGCAGGGCCCTCTAAAGAGCCAGTCAACCCCCAGCCCCTCCCCAGCCCCTCCCCCAGGCAGATAAACCCAAATATGCAAACATGGGAGGCCTGGAACCCCATGATGCACTCTCAGGCCTTTCAGGTCCTGGTCCTTGCCTGGCAGCATTCCGGCCCCCAAAACGCACCCCCATCTCTCCACCTCTGGTAGCTGCCTGGGGTCCCACAGGCACAAATGCCATGGCCTTGCTGTCTCCTCCCAGCACGTCTCTGTGCGGGGGTGTCCAGCCTGCACGTTCTCCCTGTGGCCCTTGACCACTCAGAACCCTGCCTCAGACACCCCTGCTCCTTCCCAGCACCCCTCTCTGCCTCCTGGGCCCCCTCCCTGGCCCACCCACCCACACCCAGCTCTTGGGGCCCCTCAGCCATCATGCCTCCCCAACACAAAAACCATGTTATAGTCACCCGAACCCAACACACACTACCGCATTGCTGCAGCCGGCCAACCTGGACACGTGTATTTGTAATGGGGACATTCCACACACCGTGACTGCTTAATCAGTTCCCTGCCCTGACAGGGCTGCCTCAGGGCTCAGCTGTCCTCTTCATTCCCCAAACTTCAGGCCACTGAAGTGTCTCTTCCATAAAGCCCTGACCTGTACCACATGGGCAGAGGTCAGGATGCCTCCTTCGCTAATCCATTACCATTCCCAAAGTGAAAAAGCTTTCCTTGTTAAGCCCATTCTGCAGATGTGGTCACTGAGGCTCAGAAGTTAACTATGTGGCCTGGAATGACACAGGTAGGAGGTGGCAGAGGGGAGTCCACCCCAGGTGGACACTTCTGAGCTGTGCTCTCGATGAGCTCACTGCACCCCGAGACAGACACTGACAAGTGTGTGTGAAACAAAGGCACAGCTCTGTCCAGTGGGGCCCCAGCCCTTGTCCCCGCACTGACTCTAACAGCCGGTCTTCTGCCCTGGCCTTCCCACCCTCCACATCTGCTCCGAAGGCATGGTCACATTTGAATCCTACGTAAGATTCATGAGAGGAGAAACTGCAAGAGGATGTCCCTCCCTTGTGGCTTTCACCAAAGCCAGCCTCCCCGTAGGCCAACTTCGTGCCACAGGTCAGCATCCCGGGAACGCCAGCTCACCTTGCCGCACGGGGGCCCTGCCAGGGCCCTCTCCTGTGTCGGGAAGCCTGCCGCTCGCCCGGAGCCCGCCGCCCACGCCGTCCAGAGACGCGGAGCCGTTGGCCTGGCTGCCCAGGGTGCTCATGTGGGTGGGGATGGGCTCGAAGGTGGGGTCCAGCTCCAGGATCAGCCTGTTGAGCTGCTCGATGGACTGGTCGATGTCCAGGGTGGGCGAGCCGGGGGAGGGGCCCGCGCTTAGCTCTGGGCTGGCTCCGTTCGTGACTTGGCCATCTGGAAACCTGGGTTTGAACGCTTTGCCAGGAGAGGCCTGCTGTGTGTCTGGAGGGTATGGCCCACCACCGCTGTGGCCCCTCTGGACCGCCACTCTGCTGCTGGCCCCTCGGGCGGGGGTGACCGGGACCCTGGGCTGGGCCTGGACAAGGCCCGAATTGTCCCCTGGGCCTCGACTGACGAGCCTGGCCTCCCCGTCGGGGGCGAAGCTGTACTGATGGGCCACCACCATCTGCTGCTGGCGCACCCAGGTCTGCGTGGAGTAGCTGCTCTGCCCGTAGGCCTGCGCCTGGGCTGACACCGAGGGCTTCCTCAGCAGGGGCTGGGGCTGCTTGGGCTCTCGGCTCCCGCAAGTCCGCTCCCGCTCGTAGAGAGGGTCCATGCCAAGGCCCAGGTCTGGAGCGAGGGAACTCTGATCATCCCCGACGGTGTTGCCGAAACCTTCAGTCAGGAGGGAGTTTTGGCTGCTCTTGTGGCAGGTGAAGGGGCCCAGGTGGCCGGACTGTGGCCCTTCTGAGGAGGACAGGGTCCCGAGGCTGTCCACGCTGTGCAAGTCGTGGTGGGGCATCTCGTCATCCAGAATGTCCGTCTCTCGGTCCTTCAGGACTGCGTCTCCGTTCACGTGGACCTGGGCTGGCACCACATGGCGTGTCCCGCTGTACTTGCTGCGAGCATCGGTCATGTCCTTGAGAGAGCTCCCGGAATCCTCCAGGCCAAACCCGCTGAGCAGCTGGTCCAACTCGGCCTTCTCCTGGGCGCTCAGGCCCCTCTTGGCTCCCGGAGCCAGGCGCTCCTCGGTCTTGTCCGTCCTGACCGAGGCCGTGGAGTGGCCAGAGTCACTGCTGACAGACAGGGTGTGGTCACTGTGGTCTGGGCTGCTGGTGGCCGGGACGGCCTGGGGGCCACCAGGGATGCCAGGATCTGAGCAGCTTTTCTTCCTCACCTTCGCGTAAAGACTGCCATCCACAGGGCCCTGCGTGTGCAGCACTGCAGGGGAGAAAACCGGAGAGAGAGGCTTTAGGGCAGGGAGGAGAGGGCTTCACACTCCGGGAACAGGCACAAGCATCCGTCTGAACAAATGAGTTCACAATATGACTTACAGTAAACAGGGATAAACAGTCTTCTAAGACTGAGAAGTGCTGTGTGAACTCCAGACAACGAAAAGGAATTCAAATAATCAAAGATCTTAAAGCGCTAGAAATCATTTCTACCTTTCTATGCAAAAAGAATTACCCTTTAGAGAAGCTCTGGAATTCTTCACTTTTGAGTCATCTTGCCTTGCGGGCTCACTGTTAAATCTGTCATTATTTTGCAGGTTGAGCCCAGCTCAGCTCATAAATCTCCAAGAAGTGACTAAGACAAAGGAGAGTTTCCAGCTGAGTACCTGTCTAATGTTAGCTAGATGTTGGCTAAGTGTCATGCAACACGTTCCTATTAAACCGAGTATCTGCAAATCTGCTAAACTCAATGAAAAGAGAAAGTACAAAAACTGATCTTGGGCCTTCCCATTTAGTTTAGCATCTTGGAGCCAAGTAGGTACCTGATGAACATGTCAGGACCACATGACACTTGAGGATGACCTGCATGCACTGATTTCCATACATGGGATGTCGGGACAACAAAAATTAAGCGTAAAGTGTGGGTGGGAAGCGCCTGCCGGCTGCTGCTATTATTAATCATAGCCCCAACTCCCAAAGAGATTCCGTCTGCTGACTGGCGGCTGTTAATCGCCTCAACCACACGTGGCACAGCCCTGCCAAGAGCCTCTGCAAACAAGCTGGAGTTTATAGTCAGCACATCCCTCACCCCATGCCTCCTCCCCCTTCCTCTACTCTCTGGCCTGTGAAATTGCAGGCATTCCACAACATTCCACAACAAGGGAGCTGCTGAATGCTGGATCTGAGAGCCGTGAGCCAGCCACCACCTCCTGGCCAAGAGAGCCAGGCCTTGGAGCCCTCTGGAGGGACCTGCCCCGAACATGAGCCCCAAGACTGGACACACCACCATGGTCAGCAGCTGCTGGCTTTTTTTAAAACACCAGGACACCGTGTTGGGACAGAGTACTGAGAGGTATGGGGTGCTGTGCTGAGAATATGCACACCCTGGGCTCCCGTCTTGTTTCAGCTGTGTCCAAGGGAAGCATGCAGAGAAGTGGGGCGGGGAACAGCAAACACTGGGGTAGAGCCAGGCTGGAATGGCCCGACACTCAGGGTAGAGCATGTGGGAGGGAGAGTCTGGGGGTGAAACGACACACAAGATGCTGTAAATAGACCAAGTCTTCAAGACAGGGCAACTGGTGACAGGAGACTGCGGGATGTGGCCGTGGGACTGACTGAAGGGAGCAGCATCAGCTGCTATTTACCAAGCGCCTTCTACTTCCAGGACAGGCCGTAGCACACGTTCTTTAATTTTCACAGTATGACCTAACTAGCTAACGCATCGTTATTCCTTGGTTATCTGTAAACAACCAGGCCCAAAGAGAGTAAATAACTTGCCAAGGTCAGGCAGCTGCTAGGAGGCGGAGCTGGGCCCAGAACCCAGGAGTGCTGGCCCTGAAGCCCCCTGCTGCTGCCTGCCCACCGCCTACCTGCTCAGAGAGCAACCGAGGGCTCCGTCAGCGGCCCTGTCCTCGAGAAGGTGGCACTGAAATCACATTGCTCTGACCAGGGAACAGAGAGTGACCCTGGGCAAGGCTTCAGAACAGGCAGAGACTGAAACACCTCCTGTGCCCAGCTCTGTGCAAATTAAATAAAAGGACACCTGGAAAGACTGCCCTAAGTTACAAGGTACTCGCACATCACCTCTATCAACTTTGGAAGCAAAATGCAATCCATGTGTCGAAGCACTAGGGGCTGTACAGAAGGGCCTCTAGAGGAAACTCGGGCATCAGCGGGACACCAGTTCAAATCCCCGGCTCTCCCCTGGGACCTCCCTCAGAGTTCAGAGTTCTACCAACTGGTACCTTCACTCTCCAACTGTAAAATACGGGTGTGGGTTAAGATCTTCTATGTAAAAGCTGACCTGAGAATTAAATGGCACAGCACACAGGTGAGTGTCCTAGTAAACACCAGTTTAATTTGGCTTCTGGTTAGATCCTCCGTTCCCAGAAAAACTCAACTAGTGTAAGACCTGGGAAATCAGCCCTTCTATACTGCCTGCAGAGCATGAGAAGAAGAGGAGGTGCAGAGACCCCACGTGCTGGAGGGACTGCCTGGCTGTCAGCTCTGTCTCACCCCACAGAGCACAGACCACTGGGACCCACAGCCAAGGACATGAGTTGGCTCATTATAGTAACAGAGTTCGTGCTGCTAAGACTGTACATTTCTGGCTTCTATATCTTTCTCCCTAAATCTGAATTAAAATGAAATGGCACAATGACTTAAAAAAAAAAAAAAAGGAGCTCAAGAATGAGTTGAAAAAATATTCTTCTAACTTAAATTGGAATGCTGCCAGAAAGTGCTAAGTAATCACTCTGATAGAATCCTTCTACCAGCCCCATGCTAAGCACGGTATGTAAAGAGGGGCCTGTGCAGAACGGTAAAGAAGAGGATATTCCCTTGGCTGGGAGTTATGAATAATTCTGTTATTCCTAACAATAATCCTACTTATTACTTTTATTAATAGTAGAAATCTTAAAATAATAAGAAATGCATTAAAAACAACACTGTTTCCATTACCACTAACTAAACACTAGATCTATGCCAGGCTCAGCTATGAGCATTTTAGGCAGGGCCTCATCAAATCCTGATAGCCCAGGTGGCACACGGCCACCCTCCCATAGGACAGAGAGGGGTCCCATCCAGCCCTTTCCAGCGCCAAACATTTCCAGCCAATGTTAATCCACAGGAAAAAAATACATGAAACCAATTAAGGGACTCCCAAGACAGAACCAGCCAAGCTTCTGAATCACTTCTTAGAAACATGGTTCTTCCCAAGGTGCAGAGCTCCAGGGGGCTATCCCAGAATCTCCACAGACACCCCCCCACCCCGTACCCATAAGTCTGTGATCTTGGGTGGAGGGCAGAGGAGTCAGCCTCAGGGGGAGGGGCAGAAGGGGGCCTCTGGCATGCACTCTTCCTCCCCTGCATTCTGATACAGGGCGGCCGCTTTTCAAGAGGAAGGACTTGAACTTCACTTGGACAAACGAGACACTTCAGTTCCCCTTTATCCTCAAAGATAGGATTCCCAACCTGCCATTCACTGTGTGTGTGTTCCTAATCATGATGTTCAGACTGTTCAGGCCCCTGGTTCTTCACTTATAAAAGGCAATTATTCCATCTTTCAAAGAAGTTATGAGAACTAGAGAAAATATATGTACAGCAGCAGCTCCAAGGCTCCTAACAAGGGTACCCATACTTACTATTACAAGTTCTTTCCAGGGTGGACATGGCCCTGCATCCCCTCCCTGGACTCATCTCCTCACTGTCCATCCTATTGCTCTCAGATGTAGGCCTGCACCTGCCCTGGGGCCTCTGCTCCTGCCACCTCTGCCTCCAGGGCCCTTCACGTCGGCTGGCTGGCGCCCTCACCTCCTCTGCGCAAGCCTCTCTTGACGCTCCTCTCAGCCCCGGTCTCCACCCACAGCGCGCACCCACGCTCACGCACCTGCGGGTCCGCCCAGGAGTCGTCCTGCCCAAACCCCACTAGAGCACAGGCTCCCTGCGGGCAGCGGTCTAGGTCGGTTTTGCTCCCTCGGGTACGTGCAGCGTCAGAGAATGGCCCCTGGCACCAAGTGAGCGCTGCGTAACCGAGAGGCTAGTGTTCTAGCTTTTTCTCACATGAAAAGACCTCGGGAGCTAGTCTGGAAAGCTCCACTGCCTTAGCTGGCAAAAAGAAAAAAGAAAAAGCCAAAACGAACCAACAAGAAACAAACATACACCTACAAAGACCTAAAAGCAAAAGTACCCCCTAGCCCCCCAGGTCCTCCTATTCTCTGGGTATCGAAACAACCTCTTCTCAGCAGTGTGGCCACGTCTGGCCATCCCTGAGAGCCAGGAGCAGGGCTGGCCACTGCTCCTCCTTCGCCTGGCTGGTCTTCAAACAACACAGAACAAGATTGGAAAAGTATCTAAAAGCATTCAATTTAATGGTTCCAAAGTTTCAAAGAAAGCAAAAGCCATGATCTCCGTGCCCATGGGGCAGGAAGCAGGGGCCAGCTGGAACACTGCCTGGCCGCAGTGAGCGCAGAGCCAGGGGTATGAAGATGAGAGAGACAGAGCCCTGGCTAGCAGGTGCACAGCAAATGGCTCCACGCTGGTGGCCACGTCCAGTCTCTTTTATCCTCCTGCCACCTGTGGGGTGGATCTTCTGTGGCTCAGATCCACACAGCTCCAAGTGGCAGAGCTCAGTACATGCCGTTCCCCTTACCTGTGTATTGTCTCTCTTCTCACCTGTGACTCTGCTGCCTCTAAACTGTTATGTGAACAAGGGCTGCCTCATCTAAACACTTTCTGCCGTTGCTTTGCGTTCTAAGACCCATGCAAACACTGCAGGACAAGAGCATAAAAAGGGAATCGTAAGTAGAAACAAAACTTTACTGGGGGACATGGGAGAAGGGTCACTGCATGATCGACTGCCAGTCTCTACAAGAAAAACAAATCAGGAGTCCACACCCTGCTGTCTGAATCCCCCAAAGGCTCTGGTCTGCCATTAATGGATGCCCTTCGTTAGCTGATGGCAGGTTGCTCCTTACGATACGGTTCTAGTGTGGAAAAGTGACATGGAAAGTCATTTCCTTCACCCAGACCAGAGAACTGACGTGGCCACCCAAACTCCCACCTGTGGGCCCTGGCATGGCTGTGGCTGGCAGGAGCTGCCCTGAGCAGCCCCTTGCGACAGAGAGGCCGAGCCCCCCAGCTGAGGGAGGCCTCAAGGCTCTGCTCTGGCCCTGGACCCTGACGTGCTGCTCTGAAGGGGCCGTGGGAGCCAGGACAGAGAGCTCTGAAAGGTGAGGACCAGTCACTCATCCGCCCCTTGCATCGTTTCGT